AATTGTACATCATGTTTTAATAAAAGTATATGATTTGTAGCAATTCAGAAGATTCATTGTACTTTCAAAATTTAAAATATATATCGCTTAAGATTTTAACATTGTTTTGATATACAGAACACACTGATTGAAGTAATCATGACTAGGAATTATTCTCTAAGGCATATGTGTGTGTGTTGCATATGTTTGGTATTAGTGCAGCAGAATAAGGTTACTGGAATATAACAGGTCTAGCAGAAACCCATACCTATCTCTGAGACAACACCAGACATAATTTCTAAATAAGCTGTCCACTTATGTAATTTAATTTAAATATATAGTTACTAAACAATTGTAATTTATGATTCTGGTATCCACATTGAGTATAAATCTATTTAATCAATGAGTACCAAGCACTGTTCTAGTGAACCTCCAGTTATTAAATCTAAGGCAGTAATTTGATTTCTTTGTCTCGGTTTTCATCGCTACAAAAATTTAAGATAATCTTACCCTCTCAGTCTTGATATTGAAATCAAATGAAAACAATGTAGGGAGGGTGGGTTGGAAAGGGGGAACTGATTACAAGGATCTACATATAACCTCCTCCTTGGGGGACAGACAACAGAAAAGTGGGTGAAAGGAGACGTCGGGCAGTGCAAGATATGACAAAATAATAATTTATAAATTATCAAGGGTTCATGAGGGAGGGGGTACCAGGGAGGAGGGGAAAAAATTAGGAGCTGATGCAGGGGCTTAAGTGGAGAGCAAATGTTTTGAGGATGAGGGCAATGAATGTACAGATGTGCTTTACACAATTGATGTATGTATGGATTGTGATATGAGCCCCTAATATGAGCCCCTAATAAAATGAATAAAAAAAGAAAAAATGTATTATTAAAAGCATTTCTTAATGTATGGAAGCAACGTATTATATCTAGGGAAAAACATCTATGGAGTAGCGGTCTGTGTAATTCATCATAAAATATGAAGAGTAGATATTAATTAGTTCTTCTGGGAAAAAAAACTATAGCAAACCAGTGATGACAGTCAAATATCTGTGGAGGGAGGTCTTGTTGATTCTACTCCAGTGAAATCTTGAGTGTATTTCCTGAACTAAAGGGTTCAGTACCCAGTGAAATGGGAATTTTATTTTCCTATCCAGTATGCAGAATATTTCTTATGTAACATAAATAACACAATTGGGTGGCTATGAAAAACAGAATTTTATTTTCTCACAATTTAGGTGCCTAGGGGTCTGAATTCAGCACAATGGCTATTTGGGAAAATTGTTGGTGCATTGTGTCTCTCTGTTAGCACCAAGGGAATACCATTGTTTTTGTTTCTGGAGCCTCGACATTCCTCTGTTCTTTGGCAAGCATCATACGGCATCTGTCTTCTACATGTATTCTTGCTCATATCTGTGTTTATCAGAACTCCTCTCTTTTATTTTTCTCCCTTTTAGAAGAGATTGATTTTAGGACACCCCCATAACTGGTGTTGCCTTGTTAAGAAAATATAAGATTATATTGTGAAAAGTGATCAAACTACCTTGTGTTACAATGCAGTGCCTTAGATAATACATGTATAAATCCAAACCAAACCCATTGACAACTAGTCATTTCAGATTCGTGCCAAACCCGTGTGTGCAGAGTAGTCCTGCGCTCGATTGTACCTTCAAGGCTGTGATCTTTGGAAGTAAACTTCTAGCCCTTTTTTCCCAAGGCACTTCAGTAGGTTTGAATCACCACCTTTCAGCTATTGGTCAGCTGCCTATTTGCATCATCACGGGACTCCTCTCTACAATATTCAGTGTAGGATTCCAACATATATTTTGGGGAGACACATCAAACCATATAACCATCCTAAAATAATTTCATATTTTAAAATAATTTAATCTAAGTATTTCCTTTTTCCAAACAAGGACTGTTTGCATCACAGTTTACAAAGAGATACAATGATAACAATGGCATCAACAATGCCCTCTTTGTTAAGAAAAGCTTGACAGTGATGTCTGTCTTCTTGAGTAATCTCCATGCTGGGCCATTGTCAGCTGATGTCGAATGTGTTGTGGTATGTTCTGTAGTTTATTGCTCAATAATATATCTGTGATCTGTTTTTAATTGGAAATAAGCATTAGGTTTGAGGAAATATGACTCCATTAAAGTAAAGAAGATAGGTTTTGATAAAGTAAGATAGGTTTTGTTTTATTGTTTCCTAAAACTGGATTTTGCCATCATGATACATCTTTGCATGAAGATCATTTCATCATTATAATCACAACTTAATGAAATGGAAGTTTGCAGGCTTTGATTGAAAACATTCTTGAATTGCTTGCTCTAAATTGGAGCATACTACATTGTTACTTCCCTTTGAGATGGCTGGGTCTGTTTGCCAGCAAAAGTAAGATTTTAGACTTTGAAGTAAAACTTTCTGAATTCAAAATTTGGCTATAATCCTGACCAACACCCTTTACATCAGTTTTCTAATATACCATATTTGTTGTTGTACGGTAATGTCAGTGTTATTCCAATCAATACTACAGCAGAACGAAACACTGCCATAGCCATGTTTGATCCCATTATTGCAGTGCCGATTCACCTTACGACAAAGCCTCACCTGACTCTAAGGAGCATTCTTGCCATCTACTTGCAGGCAAATTTGTGCTTTCTTTTGACCCAATGCACTGCTGTCATGTGTATTCCAAATGGCAAGGTCCCTTTCGGGAAAATGTAAGATTTATAAGGCTGTAAATATTTACAGAAGCTAAGTGCCTCCTCTTTCGCAAGCAGAGCAGCTGATGATTGGAACTTGTGATTTGAACTTCTGACCTTTGGATTCTCAATTCAAGGATATCATCTATACTGGATTCAGTATTCTTTACGAATGCCGTAATTCAAATCAAAATTCAACTCTCTCTCAGATTTTATTCAGTGTTCAATGTATAAGGCTATCGAAAAAATCATGTGTTTTTGTCAAGCTAACTTTATTCCCCAAAGTGATAGCTTTGCTTTTTAACACTTTTTGAAAGAGGTCTTTTTGTTTGAGGAGGAGCCCTCAGGGTGCTGTCCTGTAAGTGTTGAGCTGCTGAGAGCAAGCCTGGTTCACAGCCATCATCCCTCCATTAGAGAAAGATGTGCTTGTGTGCTTCTGCAGCGGTTTCAAAGTCAATTCCAACTCAAAGCAACCATATAAACCCCATTTGTTTTCTGAGGCGAAAAATCCTCGAGAGCAGAAAATCTCATAAAGCTGCAGAAAGCGTTTTGTGGTTTTGAACTGCTGGTCTCGTGTAAATGCTAATCTTATGTAATGCATAACCCACTACACCACCAGAGTTCTTCTGTGGAGTTGTATAGTTTCAGAAACCCTAAGGAGCAATTCTATTCTGCCCGATGGTGTCACTGTGAGTCATAATAGACTGATAGTGCATTTTGTGTCAGACATATGTCATTTGATTTCCACACGAATACTGATTGAAGATCCAAGTAGAATGAAAATCCTTTATACTGTCAATTTTTATCCATTTATTGTAATGCTACTTATTTGTCCATTTTTTAGTCCTTTTGTTTATGTTGAGTTCTAAGACACCCGTACTGAAGTCTGTAGTCTTTGATTTGCATCTCTAAGGGTTTCAAATCCTCTTTCAGCAAACAAGGTCATGTCATCTACGTAGTTCAGGTTGTTATTGAATCTTTCTCCAGTACTGAAGACATATCCATCTGCATAGATTCCAACTTCTCATATTATTTGCTCAGCATACACATTGGTTAAATGTAGTGAAAGGATATGACACTGGTAAACACCTTTCCTGATTCTTAAACCACGTGGTATCCCTTTGTTTGAACAATGAGTTATTGACCTATGTATAGGTTTTGCATGAGCATAATTAAGTGGTCTGCAATTCCCAGACTTTACAATGTTATCCATAATCTGCTATGATTCACACAGTTTAATCCCTTTTCATAGTCAGTAAAACACAGACAAATCTCTTTCTGATATTCTCTGCTTTCAGCCCAAATCCATCTCACATCCACAAGTATATTCCACACATCATGTCCTCTTCTGAATTCAGCTTGAATTTCCAGCAGTTGCTTGTTGATGTACTGCTGCAAACATTTAAAATTGTATTCAGTAAAATTTTACTTACCAGTATATGAAATTTTAGTAATTTTGAAAAAGAATATCTACATTCTGTTGGATCATTCTTTGGAATGATCACAGATATGAATCTCTTCCAACTGGTTGGCCAGGTGGCAGATTTTTAAATGTCTTCACCTTGAAAAGTGAACATTTCCTGCCTTACATTCTTCTGTTGAAAGATCTCAATTGGTAATCTTTCCATTTCTGGAACTTCATTTTTTTATATATAATGCTTAGAATGAAGCTTCAGATTCTTCATTCAATAACCTCATGTTATTTCTCAAGATGGTTGAATATTAATCAATTGGTTTTGCTACAGTAACTCTGTATATTTCTTGCATGTTCTTGTGGTACTGCCCAGGACATTCAAAATGTTGCACATAGAGTAATTCAGCATTTCAACTCCAGGCCTGAAGTTTTTCGTCAGTTCCTTTAGTTTGAGAAATATCAAGTGAATACTACCCTTTTTGGTGTTCTAGCTTCAGGCGTTTGCATATTTCCTGATAATACTCTGCCTCCTCCAGCAACTTTTTGAGATCTTCTGCCCATCTCTTTTGCTTCATCATTTCCACCATTCTCTGTAACAACTTTACATTTAAGAGCAAGTTTCAGAATCTCCTCTGATATTCGTGTTCTGTATTGTCTCTTTAATGACCTTTTACTTTTTTCATGTGTAACATTCTTGATTTCATTTCACAACTGGTCTGGTCTTTTGTCATTAATGTTCAGTGTGTGAAATCCATGCTTGAGATGGTCTCTAAATGCAGATGGAATATATCCCAGGTCATATTTTCATTCTTATAACCAGTATTCTGCAGGAAGCAGTCTGTATACACACATATATATTTACAGCCTCATAAACTCTGACTTACTGGGCTCTGCAGAGGAAAGGTAAGTCAGAATTGCTTCAATGGCAGTGTGTTAGATTTTGGATTTACTTATTTCCATTTTCTTTAGTTTCAGATTGAACTTGCAGATGAGTGTTTGATAGTTACTACCTCCATCACTTCCTGGCCTTGGTCTATCTGGTTATATACCACTTCTCTTTCCTCCCTCTCCATAGTCCACCCAAAGACACAAAAACACTTCTGCTGTTACTTGTCAAAATGCTCTAAAGAGTAATGTTTTTACTACGGAAATAATTTAATATTTATTTAATACACCTCGACGTAAAGAAAACAGAAATTCTCACAACTATACCAATAATCAACAATTGGGTAAAAGGACATGCTATTGAAGTTGTTAATGATTTTCTTTTTTTGGTGGAGGGCAGAGGTTCTCAATGTCAGTGGAGGTTCCATTCAATAGATCAAGCAATATTTTGCACTGGGAAAATTTGCTACAAAAGACATTTTTTAAATGTTAAAAAGGAAAGAAAAAAACCCAAAACTTCTTTATGCTTCAAGTTTGCCTGAATCAGTTTATAGTATTTTCAATTACTTATGCATGAGAAAAAGGAATAAAGATGAAACATTGATGGTTTTATGCTGTGGTGTTTACAGAGAATATTATATGTACCATAGGTTGCCAGGTTATTAAACTACTCTTGAAATAAATACAGCCAGAATGCCCTTTAGAGCAAGGATAGTAAGACTTTGTCTCATATGCTTTGGACATATTTTTAGAAGTGATTAATTACTGGAGAAGTGCACACTGTTTGCTAAAGCAGAAAGTCACAGAATAGACGAAAAACCTCACTGAGATAGGTGGACACAGTGGCTGCCAACAGTGGACTCAAACAGTCACAATCGTGAGGAAGCCCAGGACTAGAGGTGGCAGGACTACCCAATGATTCTTCCTGTTGTACATACAGTCACTAAGAGTTGGGACTGACTGGATGGCACTAGACGGCAATAACAAATATTAAAGTTTGCAAAAATTACATTCTTATAATAGAAACATGATATAGTTTATGTGCTTTATATATATTTAAATATAAAAGTATATAATGTGTCATATTCTTTTAAACATATACACAATCACTATATATAATTGAACTTTTTTAGGTATCTAAATATGCAAATGTAGAATTCTAAATCACAGCAGACTATAGTGGACATCATCAATAATAAATTTAGAAGCAGCTTTCTTAGATTTTCATTTCTTAATTGACCAGATAAATGACCATCTCACTATAATAACAGTGCTCTGTAAAAAATTATTCTGAAAAAAAAAAAATTGTTCTGACTCAATAAATGTGATGTCAACAATAGGGCTCCTTAATCAGGTGATATATTTCAATGAGGAATAGAAGTAGAATTCAAAAGATATTTATTTGTTAAGTCTTAGATTATCATTATATTACCTATTTTGTTCAATTTACTTTATGTTTCAGGACGTTGAAAAACAATTCTTTTTACTTTAAGTTTTACTTTTCAGTTTTCTTGTGTAATTGAAGAAAAACCATTGGCATTTTGCTAAGATCCTATTCAAATATGTGAATAATATATTTAAAATACATGTTTTCTCTGCTTTTAGCATGCAGTGACCTGGAGTTCAGGGAAGTAGCAAGCAGATTGCGAGAGTGGTTCAAGGCCCTTCATGAAGGTGGAAGTCAGAAGAAAAAGCCGAAAGCTTTGCTGAGGCCTGAGAGAAGCGGTAAGATCTCTGTCTTTTATATGGAATTGCATTTCCAATGAATTTTTCAAATCTATTTGTTTTCTTATAACTTTTATGCTTAACAAAATGAAAAGCATACTCAGAATATTTTGAGAGGAAACAAAGCATTTTGCACAACAATACTGTTAAAGGAGGAATGCTTCTCCAGAGACAGCATTTGATTTCTAGTTGAATTGAAATAGTAGCCATGGTCATTAGCATTTCATTGGTAAGGGATAGAACAATACAGAAGATGCGGCTATAAATTTTGATGTGCTTACAACTCTAGAGGTCCCTGCTGAGTTCAAAATTTTAGCTTTCGCATAGTTGCATTGAAAACATATCTTAGTTTAACATATGCAATTTTCCCAACCATAACTGTGTGTAATGGATGTGCATGAAAAAAAAGAATAGGATAAAGACTTTTCAATGACAAACCCTAAACCAAATTAATGAAACAGATTTTTAAAAATCAGTCTCAAGTTTCTAAAATAATATTTGATTATCTGTTTAATTCACCATTTATTAAAACTCCTTAGAGAATTTTTCAAATTATGTAGTTTTATTTGTAGAAAAAATATCTATACATGCATGGAAGACAGGATGTTAAAACATAGGCTAATTTTAGGACAGTTTAGAAGATGGACGAGATTGCTCTAAGTTCAAGAAGAGGCAGTGGGACAGAAATGATAGGCAACGTGTCTTTTCTGACAATGTTCATTTCATTGCGGGTGACCTTCAGATGTCTCATTCACTGCAATCCTTCAAGAGCACCTTTTAATGAAATCACATCAGAAAATGGCACAGTCTCTATAATGTCCTAAAAAACTTACTTGTTTTCTTCAGTTCAACAGATTTTCTACAATCATAAATGTTTTCTGTTAATTTGATGGTTTTAAATAGTTCAATATGGGGTGAAGTAGAGCTGTGACTTTCACACATAATAATTGTCTCGGAACATGAGATGATTGTGCATACGTGTGTTCCTTAAACATTTCAGAGGGAATTAAGATATTTCTTACCTGGTAGACTGGTTTCTTTCATGTTTGTCTTCAGAATTATTGACTTCCTTTTTGCCTAGTTTTCCATGCTTCTTAGCCTGAGCTTATTTAATAGACTCAACAAAAAGGAATATTCATCATGGAATCATGAAGCGAACATGTTTGGATCATGAAAAAATCTTCCTCTAGAACCATAGATTTTTTTGTATTGCGCTTCCATTTCTTTTCATTTATATTCATCTTCTGTGCTCCCAATACTACTTTCAGGGAACTTTTATTGCTTGCTCTCACATTTCTCATTGGAGCCTGAGCTTAGACTAAGAGTCTCGGTATGAATTGAAGGTAGCTGATCAGAAAACTTGTACAGTGCTGCCTAATTAATTGTACAAATCCATAAAACATCATTTTTCCTTTTACCTCTTTAAAAATAATAAATGTCATGCAACTTTCACGAGAATAGATTAATCACAATAAGATCTTTAGGAGGTGAACGATTTTGAATAGTAAAGAAAACAATGGGTTACAGTTATTTTTAGTGCTTGGAAGAACGAGTGGCTATGTAGGAACAAATTTTTTAAAAACTGCTATTCATTAAAATAGATATGAAAAAAAAGATTGGTTTCATTTGTTACTGGCATTTGTACACTCATTGGGTAAATGTTTTCTTGGCATTGGCTTCTTTAATATAATGAACTTTCAACACCATACTCTCTGTCTCCTTCCTCTTCTTGATTGTCTCCGTCATAGTATTGATCACTATTGTGGCATAGTGATCTTGTGCTGCACTGCTAACTCCAAGGTCAGTCGTTTGAAACTACCAGCCTCTCTGAGGGAGAAAGGCAGGCATTCTACTGTGAAAAGAGTTATAGTCTAGGAAACCCAAAGGGGGAGTTCTACCCTGTCCCACAGGCTGCTGTTAGTCATAATCGACTTGATGGCGATGAGTTTGGTTTTAGAAACATACTACGTAGAGAGCCCTGGTGACTTACTACTGGGTTACATAGAGTAGCCTAACACCAAAGTCAGCCATTTGCATCTACCAGCTGCTCCTTCGGAAGATGAGCCTTTCTCTTCCCATAAAGACTTGATGTCTGTGAAAGCCAAGGGAGCATGACTACGCCATATGTTGTCTCTATGAGTCCACTCCAGGGCAGTAGGCACAACATACAACATACTCAAACTTGAATTTTTTTAATCTCTCACCACTCCAACACTTCAAATTCAGTGAAGGCAAAAAACATTAGTTACCACTGTGTTACCACAACCATATTTAACAGAATTTTTATACATAATTTTCACTGAGTGGAATAAATGACTAAAGCATATAAGCCTTATGTTGAGAATGTAAATACTGTGTTGTGTGGAACAATTTATGCACTTACTGCCCTAGGGTTTATAATTTACCATTTTCATTGTTTTTATCAATGGAACACAATGTTGTTAATTTTGTATGGCCTGCATGTCATGAGAAATATTCCAAGCACTATAATTTGTCAAAATGTATTTTATATTATAAATGCTAATGAATGTTGTTAAACTTCTCTGCAAAACAATTTTAGATCTTTCAAATTTATAGCAGCAAGATATCAGAGTACATTTTGATCTGCCCCGTGAGTCCATTCGCAGCTCTGTGGGAGAGAGATGTGGCAGTTGACCAGGATCAAGCTCAAAGCATAATCAAACAAAAACTCTGACCTACTGCCCTTGAGTCAATTCTGACTCCCAGGACGGAGCCCTAGACAGCGTTTCAGAAGCTATAAGTCTACAGAAGCCGACCCCTGAAGGAATGCTATTCTCTGATTTTGTGTTTAGCTGCTAAAAGCTTATCCCATGACACCCCTTCCTTTACTATTACAACCTTATTGAAACCCTAAAAGGAAGGTCTAATATATCTTGGAAGCAGGGTTTCTATGGGTTGAAATTGATCCACAGCCAAGAATATGGTTTTCGTTGCTCTTTTTAATAACAATATGCCTTGAACTTTCACTTTTATTATGTTCCCTTGATGTTTTTACTCACAGTTTTATTTTCAATCTTTCTTTATCACTTCAATTTAAGTGTCTTACTTTCAAATATCCATGATTCGGTACAGATGTTTATTTCAAGATGGCATTCTAAGGCATTTAGTGATATAGTTTAATTCAGCCAATGCATATCTAATGCATTGCCAGATACACGTCATGTTTATTATATATAATTTATCATGTTATATATATTATGTTATATAGTTAATTTTACTTTCTGGTTCAATCATGTTAATTTCATTCCTCTTGATTTTTGCAGTAAACTTGTACTTTCTAAATATATTATTATTATTCCTTTCATTGAATTTGGGCTGCAAACCACCAGATCAGTCACTCAAAGGCAATAACAGCTCTGTGGAAGAAAGTTGTGGTTGTCTGATCTGTAAAGATTAACAGTCTCAGAAACCCTAAGGAATAGTTCTACTCTATAAAATGACCTCTTGACTGGAAGAATTCCATATTTGTACCTGTGTTAGTCAGGGTTCTCTTGAGAAACAAAATCTGTACACTTATGACTATATATATTAAAAGGAGAGATTTACACATTGAGGAGGAATATAATAGCTAATTACTCCACACAGAAGTACAGAAGGTTCAGTTCAACTCACTTTCATGGAACAGTTAATATACTGAAAGTCCTTCAACTCACATGGCCTGCTGAGTCCAAGGTCAAGGAAGCAGACAGCCATGTCTTCCCTCAGGCAAGACAGACAGAATCTGCCTGCAGGCAGGAGACAGCAGGGTGGGTCATCAACAGCCAGTAGCACAGGAGCTTAGCAAAGTAGACTCCATGGGATCTTGAACTCAAGCTATGCACAGAGACAGGTTTCACCAGCCTCAAGTTCAAGCAATGTAAGTGCCAGCGGCATGGCAAAAGCAGGTCTCAAAGGAGCCTCAAGCTCTAGTAACAGGATCCATGGGTTGGCTTGGCCCACAGGTAGTGTAGCACACGATTGGGTCAAAGGGTAGCTCAAGCAGCAACACTGTGCTTCGAACAACAGGAAGCAAGAGAGAGAAAGGTTGCCAGCAGTCTTTATTTATCTTGGTTGCCCTCCAATCAAGCTGCAGCCTGATTAAGCTCTGCCCACATGTTCATTTTGGCCTATTTGGCACAATAAACCTATCACAGTACCTATTTCAAATAATGGTGAAATGACCTAACATAATGAACTAATTATAGATTATAAACATTCATATCACATGGTTTGAAAATCATTCAACAATAGTTGTAGCAGTACATTCACAGGGCATAGTACATAGTTGTCGCAGTACATTCACTGCCACAGGTTCAGACTGATTTCAGAAGAGGATCTGAAGCAAGGGATACAATTGCTGATGTCAAATGGATCTGGGCTGAATGCCGAGAATACCAAAATTATATTTATTTGTGTTTATTGACTATGGCATTCAACTATGTGATCATAACAAACTATAGATAGACAACTTCATTGTGCCCATGTGGAATTGTACATTAAATGTAGCAGTGTGAACAGAACAAGAGAATACTGCATGGTTTAAAATCAGGGCTGTAACCTGCCACCTTAATTATTCAATCTGTATGCTGAGCAAATAATCAGAGAAACTGGATTATAAAAAAAGAATGTGGAAACAGGATTGGAAGAAGTCTTTGATACGTCAGTGACACAACTGTGGTTGCTGAAAGTAAGGAGGACTTGAAGCACTTGCTAATGAACATCAAGGATTGTAGTCTGCAGTGTGGATTAAACCTCAATGTAGAGAGGAACAAAATACTCACAACCTGACTGTTGTTTGTACTTTTATGCATAGGTTGCTATATTTCAGCATCAAATTGATGGCACCTAACAACATTAAAATATAAAACAGAGTATATTAGGCACAACTTCAAGCATGCACAGATTTGCCACACCAAATGAAGTTCACAAAGGAAATAAGAAACAGACAATGCAAAGGGACAATATTTTCCTCCAGAGCTGGCCATGCGAATAAGCCTTCA